AAATCATGCTTCAGTTTAAAGGAACAAAAGCATGATGAAGGAACTGTGTGGTTACACATTTCGTTGGTCCCCTTCCCCCACTCTTGTTTGAGATCATTGATTCAAGACTTTAATGAAAGGTACATTCTGTTGATACTGCTTAAACTACCTTTTCATTTTACCACCACCTTCGACAAGAAAAAAGAACGTGATATGCATGGAACTTAATGACATTGGTTTGGTGCTCTTTCCTTGCTCTCTAATGATTTTTCTAAGACAGGGTCAAATACCATTGCCGTGTGCTTTCTTGCAACTGACTTTCAATTTTATATCAGAGACTCTGCACCACAGTGTGGGAGGCATGTTGATGTGTGTTCAAAGATATGCACCGTCTTTATGCATTTATACTGATGCTTGTGCTACCTTGATTTGGAATATGGTAGGATTCAATGCTTCACTTGAACACATCAGTCAACGAGGAAGTATCCACCCAAAATGAATTTCTGAGGAATGTTTTGCGGGAGAATGGTTTGGTTAGGTTAAATGTAGTTAAAGCATTAAACAAGGGTTGGTTTTTTAAGGAGTTATGGGCTCTGCCATTAAACACGGCAGTTGGGCATAAAAATAGTTGAGAACTTGATGATCCACAAGCTGTTGATGAAAATCAAGGTGACTTGTGAAGACTGGATAAAGAAAACAATTTAAGGAATAATTCCAATATCCATGGTTCTTGAGTTAAGACGAAGGAACTAAGTGCCAGAAAAAAACCTGTTTCTTAAGGCTTCAAACTACTAGTCATTAAGACTACTATGAAAGAAAAGTNTAACTTGTGAAAACTGGATAAAGAAAACAATTTAAGGAATAATTCCAATATCCATGGTTCTTGAGTTAAGACGAAGGAACTAAGTGCCGGAAAAACACCTGTTTCTTAAGGCTTCAAACTACTAGTCATTAAGACTACTATGAAAGAAAAGTAAGGTTGGATTAGTCTTTCTGTACTTACCCGCCAGCCCTGTTGAGAGTGATTCTTTTACTTATAACGAGGGTGAAAGTCATCGATTTTACTTTCTACTTGTCCTTAATGTCTAACAAGAATGATATATTTGTGGTCGAGAGTCACATCGGAGCTATATATATGGTAGGAACTATTTCTAACTTTTGACTTGTTCATGCATTAATGAAAGTGTGAAGAGTATGCATTAGAAATATTTATGACTTCCTAAATATTGCGCTGTTTCTGTACAAGATTTGGCTTTTATTCTTTGGTGGGAGTTGGCACACAAAATATGTGAAAATTCCGATCAAATTTCACAATTTGAATTCTGAAGTACTGTTTTGGGGTTGAAGCAAAGATCATTTTCACTTGGAGGAGTGACCAGATATTGATAATGAAAATAGTAGTACAAGCTAATCTGAAAAGGTCAATACCCCTCAATTGGGATTTGCCACACTTGAAAGGTCGAGATTTTGGAGGCCATTGCTTTTATTAGTAAACAAAGTTTTTCATGCACTCTCGATACTAGACTAGCGTTAGTTCTTCAAAGGATGGCAATGGTTTTCATTTGTGTATCTATTGTCTCTGATACTATTTTTCATTCTAAGTTATTTGTCAAGGTTTTAGAATTAGGGAAAGATGTAACAACCGATACCTTCAAAGCGAAAAATATTCTTGTTTAAAATTTACGTAGAGTTTTCCAAAGCAATCATCGGTTAAGAAGGGAGGCTCGGACCTATTGTTTTTGACCAAAATTATAGAAATTTTAGGTAAATAAGGATTTCAAATTTAAAATAATGAGGGATTGTCCATGTTAGTATCTATTACCGTGAAGACACAGATTTTAGAGATTATTCATATTTAGAAAGATTTTGTGGTGAGAACAATATGCCAATGCCTCCATTGCACATAATCCATCTCATGAAAATTTAGTATTGCTAGTGAAATTTTGGGCACCTTTTTGTCAGATTGGCAACTGATGTTTGATGTTTCTAGTGGTGATTAAGGTTATTATTTGTGAACAAATGCCAAACACTTGAATTATACATGCATTGTCTTGGTGTCCAACTGTCCTTATAAGTTCCATTGATTCTCACAACTTTATCTTGAGTTTTCTTTTTGGCTTAGAAGTAATAAATGTTGTGCCCCAGCCTGAAGAGGTCCAGAAAATTTCAGCCTGAAGATAGAATTTTTTCATTGTCCTCAGTCACCTCACCAGCGGTATGTCATAAACTTCATTCATTTATAAAAATTTCCTAACCTTATGAACTTCTCTTAGAAGCTGTGCTAAAATTTTCTGCTGGATCTTTTTGTAGTGTAGCGGCATATTCTGCTGATGTGTGTGTACTGTAGTCAGATTTTAATTTTTAGGCAACTCTGCCTATGTCTTGTTTAGTGTTATTTACATTGTCCCAACTCTGCCTATGGAGTACCAATGTTAATTGGATTATGGATCAATTTGGTATGTGATATACTTTCTCTGATCCTCAATTGGAAGCCTTTAAGGCTCGACGTATTGCCAATTTGCTAAATTCTAGGGAGAACGAGAAGGCAAACAAAAAAAGAAAAAAAGCCACTCAACTCTCTAGGCAACTCTGCCTATGTCTTGTTTAGTGTTATTTACATAGTCCCAACTCTGCCTATGGAGTACCAATGTTAATTGGATTATGGATCAATTTGGTATGTGATATACTTTCTCTGATCCTCAATTGGAAGCCTTTAAGGCTCGACGTATTGCCAATTTGCTAAATTCTAGGGAGAACGAGAAGGCAAACAAAAAAAGAAAAAAAGCCACTCAACTCTCTAGGCAACTCTGCCTATGTCTTGTTTAGTGTTATTTACATAGTCCCAACTCTGCCTATGGAGTACCAATGTTAATTGGATTATGGATCAATTTGGTATGTGATATACTTTCTCTGATCCTCAATTGGAAGCCTTTAAGGCTCGACGTATTGCCAATTTGCTAAATTCTAGGGAGAACAAGAATGCAAAAAAGAAAAGAAAAAAAGCCACTCAACTCCAAATTCTGATAAAAAAAACTATGAAATATAGCCACTCATCTCATAAGAGAAAAAAAAGAAGATAATANATGCAAAAAAGAAAAGAAAAAAAGCCACTCAACTCCAAATTCTGATAAAAAAACTATGAAATATAGCCACTCATCTCATAAGAGAAAAAAAAGAAGATAATATAGAGAGAAGGATTATCATAATACACAAGCATTTAAAACAATCAGGAATGGTTCTCACAAGAAAAAATGTAGATAAGAAATTAAATGCTATAAATGTGACAAAATAGGTCTAATGCTAATAAATGTTTAACTAAGCGAAAAAAAATTAATGAACTAATACAAGAGGACAATCTAAAGATCAATTCTGAAAATGTTATTAAATGAAATAAACTCATCTAACTCCACCAGATAATGGAAACCAAGACTTTTTGAGATTGAGCTAGATAGTACTACCAATAGTAGTGATTATCATCTTCATGTTGGGCTCAACCAAATTATACAAAGTGTTATGAACCAAAAACCACAAGCAAAATAAAAACAGAACGAAATAGAACAATAGAACATACAAAATTTACGTGGTTGGGCTTTCGAGATAAGGTGACCATCTTGGCCCTATGGGCGTTATCCTCTTTTAAAAAGTACTTTAGCTTTGCTAGATACATTCAATCATTCAACATATAAATGAAAGGATAATACGATAAACATAAATGAAATTGCATAAATATAACTTAAGAATAATACTTTACATGTCTATCACCTCTTATTAAAGAGTAAATGAGAAACTACTCAAAAAAGTAAATAAATCTCATCCTTCTAAGTAGACAGGCTTGGAATTAAAGGTAGAAATATAAAAGAAGTACAAGGCTTCTCTCCAACAAAGAATGGCCACAAGAGAGGTAGAAANACAAAGGTAGAAAAATAAAAGAAGTACAAGGCTTCTCTCCAACAAAGAATGGCCACAAGAGAGGTAGAAAGGTGGAAGAAATTCACTCCTCTAGATGAAGGAGAGAAAGTTACACAAATAAAAGCTAATGAAAGCAATACTAAGAAAGTGGAAAAAAACTAGTTAATTTGGAGGGGTAATTCCTCTTCCAAAAATTGTTTTAATGCAAGAACCAAGGGGTGGTATTTATAGGCAAAGTCCAAGCGTCTCAAAATCTGGCTAGAAAATCAGACCAGGAGATTGTCTGTCTTCTATTGGCATTCGAACGTGAAGTGGCGTTCGAACGTGAGTCCTCATTTTGTCTGTAGCTCGTGATTTCCTGAGATACTGAGGCTAGAACTCGTTCGAACTTGGATGTCGTTCGAACGTTGAATGGCGATCGAACATGGTCTTTAATGCAGCCATCGACACTCAGTAGTCCAGCAGGCAACAGTCAGCGGCCATTTGTGGATTCTGTTTGATTTGCAGGTGCGTTCGAACGTGAAGTGGTGTTTGAATGTGGATCCAAAGTCCACTTTTGTGTCCTTTAGCCTCTGCAACTGCTTCCTTCCATCAATGCTTGGTCTCACTGTCTCTAAATCATCCTTTTAAGATCAGAATACATGACTGGTCCCAGCTGTTTCCTACCATCATCCTTCCATCAAGGCATCATTCTGCAAAAAGATTCTTTGAATATTAGTTTGTAACATAGCAAAGTCTTCCATCCTTATACGTAACTCTTCTTTCTTGCTTTGGATATCAACAATTTTGTTGTTTGTTTATATATAGACAGAGTTATAATAAACATCTATTCGCGTGGATATGAATATGCACAATGATATATATTTTTGTCTAATAGTGAAAACAATCTAGATAAGAGTTCCGAAGCCAACTGTGACCCAAAACAATGTACCAGCTAAGTTTATCCACATTGCACCATGTACCAGAGAAAGTAGCTTACTGAGTATGCGTACCACACATCAAATCGACCCACTGTCTGGATGGCATTACTGGCCTATGTAGTTGACTTGGTGATGAACCATTGAGCATGGTATCATAGACTTATTTCTAAATAATAAAATGGAGTGAGCAAAATGATTGCCGCATTTAATAAAATCATATGGGATAAAGGTTGGTATCAGAAAAATGCTAGCACTCTACTGATCTGCCAATCTGATTGAGTGCTTCACATAATAAATGGCATACACCTTCCACAATTTTAATGACTAAGATAATGTCTTATCATTCTTTCTTGTACTATCCATTTTTGAAGAGAAATATACTGACATATCACAGAGAACATTGCCCATAAGAAGCTTAGCTTGATGTTTATAGAAATAAAAGATTCCTTCTCCCCTGATTGAAATGGAAACTGGCGTCATATTTGAAAGCAGATGATCTCGTTGTCATTTCTAAATCAAATGATGGATGAAATGTGAATTTTTAGTTGGATGTGTGGTAAAACAAGGAATGATAATATTAGGATAAATATATTAAAATAATAGGAGTAGCACCAATAAGGAGATAAATTAAGAGGGAATTGACTACAGTGGTCTGGGTATGTTCAAACAAGTCCTGTAACTGCACCAGTACATGTGATATCTATTGAAAGTTATACTAGAAGTACAGGGAGAGCAAAATTCCATAGCTTATGGCTTAGACGAATATGTGACCCAAGAATAAAGAGAGTGGCGGAACAATTGTTGGTGAGATGAGTTAAATGAATGCACCCTACTTTTGTTTATTTGTTGTTTTCCACTTGATGATCTTCTCCTTTTTCTGCTGCTATCTAGTTGTTAGTGACTTGGGTATTTTCTGCTCTTTTCTTCTTTTGGCTATCTTGTGAGGTATTTCAGATTTAACGTTGGTGGTGTGCTCACTTTATCTTGTTTATATTCAGGCTGAAGAAATTGGAGTTGGACGAGATGGTGAGCTCCTCCATTACACCTAGAATTGTGCGTTTAACATGTGATTGATTGACCTTATCTTCTCCTTCTGTCGTGACAGATGGAAGACCAGATTTGGGTGTAGGCCGGCCTAGGGGTGGAGGTTTAATTGGCAATGGACAGTAAGTGTTGGCTTTCCATGATAGAAACCCCAAAGTTCTACTACCTTTCAATTACATCTGAAGAAACTACAAACTGCATATGCTGTGGTTGAGGGCTGGAGAACTTGCATGATTGAGGCCCAATAATGCATTTGTTGATATTTGTATTTTTACCTATGCATAATGCATGTTTTCTCTTTAGGGGGAAACCGAAGAAGGGAAGAGCAGGACAAAGAGAAGGAAAGAAAATAAGGCTGTCAAGCGATTTAGATCTTGATGATGAGGATGATCCTGTTTGAGCTTGAGACTACATTCGTTCCTATTGTGTAATCCTCAAATGTTGTATTGATATGTATTAAATTTGTTGGCAGCTTAGTCATCCTTAATTACATTTAATTATCTGCATTTGGTGCATATCTTGTAATTGATGGCTCAATAATGCGTTTATAGGTACTTGCATTTCTACCCATGCATAATGCTTTATGGGGAAACCAAAGAAGGGAAGAAGAGGACAAAGAGATGGAAAGAAAGTCAGGCTATCAAGTGATTTAGATCTTGACGATGAATATGATCCTGATTTGAGCTTGAGATAACTACATTCGTTTGAAGGTATAACCCTTATTTGTTGTACTATTAGGTATTAAACTTGTTGCCAGCTGTAGCAAGTCATCGTCGAGTGAATTTAATTATCTGCATTCTGTGATGCTATTGGATTTTCCTTAAACTTCTGTGTGAAGTTCTAGTTGTCAGTCAGTCAGCCAAGGGAAAATATTGTGCATGGCAACAAATGTATACGAGTTTATGTCAAATGTATAATGGTAAAGAATTACGACAATGGCCCACAAAATTCTCTTTCAAATTCCTTCTGTGCAATTATTTTTTGGAAAATTCGTCCCGTTGTTTCTTCCTGTGTATATTATTCCATGATTGTCAAAGTTGATTCGTGTGCATGGGCAAGCCAACTTAGATAACTCCTTTTCTGCAAACAGATCAAGGTTTCTTGATGCTACTTCTCCTGAAGGCTGGGAATGGGTAGGGCTAGATGAGTTTAGACTTTGGAGGCTACAAATCACCAGTTTAATGTGGTTGATTTTATTTGCGTTTTGAAAAATTTTGCTGATTCAGAGTCCTGGGATCTTAGTTAAGTATAGTCTAAAGGTGCAACTGATGTCAAGTAGGCAACACCCATTTTATCCTACGTTATAAATAAACCATGGGGAATGGATACGCTTGAGTTGGTCAGGTGTTGGTGCTTAATGAGTCGATGGACTGTTTGATTTGGTGACATTGTCTTTTAAATACAGTGAGTTATGAATTGTCAAAGTTATCATTGGACATTGATGTAATTGTCTAGCAAAGTGGGAAGGGGTAAAACTAGACATTCAAATTCTTAAATGTTGTTGGAGCACCATATGTATCCCACATCAAATCAAATAGTATATTTCTTTAATAGGGTTATTATTGATCAAATCAAATAGGAAATNTTTCAAAGTTATCATTGGACATTGATGTAATTGTCTAGCAAAGTGGGAAGGGGTAAACTAGACATTCAAATTCTTAAATGTTGTTGGAGCACCATATGTATCCCACATCAAATCAAATAGTATATTTCTTTAATAGGGTTATTATTGATCAAATCAAATAGGAAATAAATTGGAAGAGTTTTAAAATATCTTGGATAGATATATTAGAAAAATAAAGATTAAATTGTATCTTAATGTATTTGGGTTATAATATTTTGTTCCTGTAAATAAGGTTGAGTACGGTGTAATCAATNTAAAATAGGAAATAAATTGGAAGAGTTTTAAAATATCTTGGAAAGATATATTAGAAAAATAAAGATTAAATTGTATCTGAATATATTTGGGTTATAATATTTTGTTCCTGTAAATAAGGTTGAGTACGGTGTAATCAATTATCAAATGATCAGTTTTTCGGTGAATAGTATATCGATATAAGTTTTTGGTATATGTATGTAGGTACGGTGTATCAAGGTAGGTATGATGTNATTATCAAATGATCAGTTTTTCGGTGAATAGTATATCGATATAAGTTTTTGGTATATGTATGTAGGTACGGTGTATCAAGGTAGGTATGATGTATCAAACCACGTTATATCTTTATGTTTTAGTTTATTATTTTTCCTATCTTGAATTCCTACCCTCGACTTATGATATTAAGTGTTAATTATTTACTGTGCAAAATGAACAAGTGGTATTAGAGCTAAATTGACGATTCTGGTACAACAATTAGGGGTGTCCATAAGCCCATCCCAACCCGCCCACACAGTTCGCCCACCCTTCATTTGAAAAAAAGTTATACTTTTAGACCACTAAATTTGAAACTTTAAAATAAGTCTCCCAATATTGAAATTTAAAATTTTAAAAATTTAGATACTATAAATAATGTATTATTTTTTTTCCGTTTATTTAGCATATAAGTTTTAAAGGGTAGAGTAATGCAAATGATAGATAAGTGAGTAAACGTCAACCTAGTTGTGATGTATTCATTCTATTAGATGTAGTTTATTCCCTAATAAAAAAAATTATTTATTATTTTATTTTTATCCATTTTTATTCTACTTTTGATTCAAAAATATAATTTATACAAATATTAAGTTACAAAAATATTTATTATTTTTAAATAAAATTATATATAAAAAAGTCCGCAAGCAAGCCTACCCACAGGCCCACTAAATAGGCTTGTGTGTTGGGTTGTAGGCAGTTTACCTCTACTCGAAGCACTGCCCAATTTGTTCGATAATTCACTTGGGTAAGAGTTTGAGCTTACATTATTCAAACTTGGCCCAAAAAAAATTTCACGGGCCTAGCCCCGCCCGGCCCATGAACACTCTTGACAACAATCAAAGCAAGTTGTTGACGATCTGTAGATTCCTATCTCTCAACTTATGATATTAGTGTTAACTATCCATTGTACAAAATCAACAAATGTCCAATAAATATACATCTACTAATGAAAATGTTTCATGGTCTTGTCTCTATGAGTTATCTGCCCTATCATGAACAAGTCCATCCATAGGAAATTACTGTACTTGACAATGTATTAGATGCTGATCTTAACTGTTTTTTCAACTGTTATGTCATGAACTCAGAATACTATTTAGTCTACGTAACAACAACAGGCTCTACCTATTGCTATGATCTTTCTTGTTGCTCACTTTGATGCTTTCAGATTTTTCTGGGTGAGATAATTTCCTTGCTTTTGAAATGGTTCATTTAGTATCAGCAGATTAGTCAAAACAATCATTATACGTTACATATCATCTTAGAGAAACAAGTCCATCCTTAGGAAATTAGTGCATTTTGACAATGTAATAGTTTCTGATCCTATCTGTTTTTTTCTCAACTGTATGTCATGAACTCAGAATACCATTAATCTACCTAACACCAGACTGATTCTATCTATTGCTTTGATCGATTCTTGTTGCTTACTTTGATGTTTTCAGATTTTGTGGATGAGATATTAGTGCTGCTATTGAAATATGGTTCATTCGTATCAGCAAATTAGTCAAAAAAAAACTTTATACGTTACGTTACGTTTCATCGTAGAGAACAAAAATTCACTAACCACTCATAAATCAAACTTTCACATGCACAACAAACATTTATTATGACTAGATGAAAGTATGCAAATATTTTAAACAAGAGTTTCTAGAAAATTTTGGAGACTAAGCTCTGTCCCGGTTGCAAGGTGTACACTCTTATTACTGGGTAAACAATCCGGCGGCCTTGACCATAGCACCCCGAACCAACGAGGGAAGTCCCAGTAGCGAGAAATCGCAGGTGCCCTCAAATGTGTACTTGAGTTATAGCCTAACCCCTCGCACCACAGAGTTGCCAATGAAAACNCCTTTAGTTGCCAATAATTCTACAAGTTCTATTATAAATGAGCTTTATTTAATAAACTTACATTTCTCAATTGTACTCATGTTGATTTCGTGCAATTGACCAAGACAAATCATGTTAAAAAAGATAATTTTGTTTATGCTTTGTTATTGTCCTGAATTGAATTTTATTTCTACTGCCCAGAATTAGTCTTTATTCATTACTAACCTAGTTGTTAAACAAAGACTAAACTACAAAAAGCTTTGAAAATCTGAGCAAGGTTTGTTTGTTTGTTTGTTTAATTGAGGTAGTGTCCATTTGCTTCCTTATATCGATAGTGACATGTTCAATGATAACAAATAAATATGAACATTTGAAAATATTGAGCCTGATTAGATTTAGCTTCAAACTTCAGTTTAGACCAAAGTTTTATTGGCTGGCTTTTACTTCGTCACTACGAAAAAGTTGAAGAATGAGACTTATGCAAGGACTTCCAACGAAAAGTCGACTTTTTCAGAAACACTCCAAACTGTTTTAAGAGTTTTTTTTAACTCTTATTTTTTCATTTTATTTTTTAAACCTCTGTTTCTTATCCAAAAAACACTAGCTCCAAAACGGACCCATTAACTGACCTAATTGTCAAAGTTTTTCATCTTAGTTTTTCTTTTTTAAACTTAGTTCTACGTCGAAACGATTGATTCCTAGACTTGAATTTTGTTCAATCTTCATTTGTTGAACAATCTTCATTTTTTCCATTGCAGTTGGCAATCTGTTCTTCATAGTGTCGATATGACAACAAATTTACTCTCTATATTGTGGTCTTTATTTAACAAACGAGAATTATTATCTCACCCGTGCGTGGTTTAGACTCGTGATAAAAACATACACTCTAAATATGCACAATCACTTGATAAATACCTTAGTTTTGACATAAATGACTAGCTTTGGATTAGAAAGGAGATTAGTCGAGATCCCCACAAATTGATACGAACACCCTTAACCATTGAATAAAAAAAAAAGAAGACATTTTAAAAATTATAATTGAAACTCAAGACAGTAACACTTGTAATCTTTTCACACCCATCCTTACTCTTCCTTACCTAGTAAGGCTGTGATTTCATGTGAAGATTAGAGAGGTTAGTCCTGAATGATTTATTTCTTATAAATACCTTAATTTTGATGTGAATGACTTATTGTTGATTAAATTAAATAAAAAATTAATCAAAATACGCATGAATTAGTCCGAGCATTCATTACATTAACAAAACAAAAGAGATCTGACCCACTTTAAATCTTTGCCTACGCATCCCAGCTCTACCTTACCTAGTAAGGCTGTGTGTAGAGTGGGTCACAGACAGGACCCACCAAATTGATTTTCTCAATAAAGACCAAAGAAAATAAAATAAATTAATTAAAGGAGAAAATGAGCTAGCAATTAGACCTATATATACACA